AAGTGTTTATGGCCGCCTTTGGGAGCAGCACTCTCTTAACACCGTAAACAGCACCAAGCAAAGGGCTTCATGCAGCATACAGGGCTTACCAGGGTTTTGAGAGGAGGAACAAAATACTTTTCTCTGCCTCTGCCCAGTACTGAAGACTGGACCCAGGGCCTTCACACGGAGCCACATCCCCAGCCCTTTTATTAATTTTTATTTTGAGACGGGGTCTCACCAAGTTGTTAAGTGGCCCAGGTTAGCTCAAACTGGCAGTCCTCCCGCCTCAGCCTCCCGGAGTTTGCCCCTCACCCAGTTCACCCAAAGCTCTTTGTTCTTGATGAATGGTGCTGATGAACTCCTCCAACTTGACCAGCACTTAAAGCCCAAGCTCCCTGCCATGGGAAATGTTGATGATGAACATGGACAGATAGTTTGGCAACTTCTGGCCAGGATTTACTGAGGTAGGCTTTATGGACCATCATCTTCCTGATTAATTCCTTAAAAACATCTATAAACTGGTAAATATTTAGTATCTCCCATGTTTGTTTGTTTGTTTGGTACCAGGGATTGAACTCGGGTCCTTATGCTATGAGGCAGTTGGCGGAACCACTGAGCTAAATCCCCAGCCCAGAATCTCCCATGTTAATAGCAGCACAAGTCATAAAAGCTAAATCGTGGAGGGAGTCTATACACCCATTAATAGATGAATGGATGAAGAAAATTTGGTATTTACCTACAGTGAAATACTACTCTGCTATAAAAAAGGATAAACTTGAGTCATTTGTAGAAAAGTGGATGCACCTTGAGACCATAATGTTAAGTGAAATAAATCAGACTCACAACTTAAATATCACATGGTTTCTGTTATATGAGAAACCCAAATATAAACAAAGAGCAAAATAAAAGGTAGATAATAGGAAGTAGGGAGATGGATCTTTCTTAAGGGGGAAGGGGGTCAGAGATGGGGGCTAAGAAAAGGTGACAAAAGTAGCAACCAAGATGTGTCCTGTACCTATGCCAACCCCGCCCGAGGCGTGTACAGATCACGCCCTGCGGACGGGACCAGCAAGTGGTCACAGTAGTAGTGGAAGAAGACACGGGAGGCCAACACAGTGTCAGTGCAGAGGCGAGGGTGCTCTGCGTGGTTCTGCATCCCAGCTGCTTGAGGAGTGAGTGTGGTGTCCTGTGTGCTTCCTGTGACCATGCTGTACCTGTCTCCAGTTTCCCACCAAATGCAGGACTTCCGCGTCTTCATCCTGTCGAGAACAGCAGTACGCCTTTGCGTCAGTCTTAGGTTTCAGACCAGCTACTGTAGCTTTCCAAGGCATTCTGTGAATTCCCAAGAGTAGAGCAAAACCTCAAATTTATATTAAACCCATGTCTTACTCACTAAGTTATTTCTGCCTATTTTTTCAATCTAGTAGCAATTCAAGTCTTAAACTACATTGGCAAAAAAAAAGTGCTTTTCATACCTACTCAACTCCACTTGGTTTTTAACTAATGACGCACACGAAGGCATCTTTCCAAACTCAGGAGTGACAGTCGCCGTGCGTGGTAAGGGTCCAGTTTAGGTTCAAATCAAATTTCTGTCACTTACTTAGTTTTGCCTTGGCCGAGTTGCTCAGTCCCCTCTGCGGTGTGGGTGATAACAGTACGTACAGCGTAGAGTCGTTGTGAAGGTTAAATGAGCGACACACATACACGACGCGGCCACTGCACACAGTGGCTGATAGACACAGGCCTGCTGCGTCTGCACACATGCTGTGTCAGGGAGCCCGTGCCCGGTTACAGCTCAGGCTTTGTTTCCAGTGGATATAAGGAGGATTCCAGGTTTTAAAAGGTCAGAAGGCTGGGCACAGTGGCACATAATCCCAGCACTCCAGGAGGCTCCAAACTCAAACCCAGCCTGGACGGCTCAGTGACTTAGTGAGACCCGGTCTAAGAATGAAAAATTTATTTTCAGGCTGGGGGTGCAGCTCAGTGGGAAGGCCCTGGGTCCAACCCCAGCACTGCCAGTAGTCAGTCAGAAACCCCCACACTCCTGTGTCCTGGCTTCTATGAACTGCTGTGGTCCAGCATAGGCACTGAATCCCAAGTGTACAGCGAACCAGAATCCAGCTGGGCCTTCACTGTCATCACAGACCCACCTACAGAGTGCCCGAGCACATTTCCAGAGAGCTGCGTTGTGTCTCTTGTCACCTTGGAGTCCAACAATTTACGAGTTTGTTCTAAAATAAATTTTTAGACATTTGAAGTAACAATGGCCTTGCATAAGAGCCTGTCGGGGTGGTGGTGAGCAGCTTGTAGACTCAGTTTCATCAGGCTTGCTTTCTGCGTGCTGCTGTGGGAGGCCCACGTGTGATTCTGGGAGCTGCTGAGAACTGCTGCATGACACCACTCACTCATCCCATGCCATTCTGAGTCCAGCATCTGTGCTTGTGCACGACTGGGGCAGAGGTCCACACTGCCACCCAGGCACAGAGGGTAGGTGGGATTTCTGCCAACCACTTCTGGAAGTGAGTTTGTCACCTCTGCCTGCTTCCTGTGGCTAGAACTCATCCTGGGGCCTTGTGGGATCTGCCCTGGTCTGGTTCAGAAGAATCGCAGAGGCTCCTGATGCGTGTGGAGGTGAAGGCTCCCTGTCTGTGTGGAGACCTGCTGCTGTCCCAGAGCTGTTTCTCTTGGCGAAGCCAGGACAGGACTCGATGCTCGGGGCTGGCCCCTCAGAGCTGGTGTGTGGCTCTGCGCGCAGCATCTGCTTGGCACGCACAAGTCCCAGGCTCCATCCCCAGCACTGAAGGAAAATGAGTGATCCCTTAGGATTATAAGGATTAAATAACATTTGTTAGAACCAAGAACATAAGGGGCATTTAAAAATATTCATTATTATAACTAAGACATTTTCAAGTCACGGGGCAAATGCTACTCAGGGAAAATATTCTTGCGTTTTCTTTTATTTGCTCCTTTTGTAACCAGTTTCCTAGTACCATCCTCCTCTGTGCCTTCTGCCTAGGTGAATAGCAATGGTGTCCTGTCTGTGAGTCTGATTTACTTCTCTGTTTAGGAGATGATGTCTTGCTGTGCTGCCTTGAACTCCTGGACCTAAGTGATCCTCCTGGCCCAGCTTTCTGACGGGCTGGGACTGCAAGTGTGGGCCACTGCTCCCAGCCTTATTTACTTTTTAATGCAACAGCAGAATGATCCCAGAAAGCAAAGCAAAACCGACAATGCCTTAATAATCTAGCTAAAGAATTCTGAGCCACTTCCTGTCCATCTGTGCTTGTCCTGTGGGCCAGCCAAGGCTGTGAAAGGGCTCTGCACAAAGATCTGAGCCCCCGGAGACCGGCTGGGAAGCTCATTCCCCAACTGCCTCTGCCCTCGAGTTACACACCCCTCCCACAGGCCAGAGGTATTTACCCTCCTGACACCCCAAGAGCCCCACCTTAAAACAACTGAAAAGTCTCTGATGCACTTCACTAACTTGAATTTCTGGGGGATCTTAGCAAAGGACTCTACAGACAGCCGCGTCTACAGATACACCGCACTCTCTCCTGGGAGGGTCTGGGTCACTTTGTCCAGAGGGGCTGGAGTGCTTGTTGCTCTTAGCTGGTCTGTGCAGTACCAGGGCTTGAATTCAGGGCTGTACTGTTGAGATGCAACCCCGGACTTTTGTCTTGAAACAGCTCTTGCTAAGTTACCCACTCTGGCCTACATTACGATCCTCCTGCATCAGCCTCCTAAACAGCTGGGATTACAGGTGTGTGGCCCACACCTGGCTGTCCAGAGCTATTTCCAGAGAGTCTGGGACTTTTCTGTTTTTTTAATGACAATTAATTGAGACATTTAATAGACAGTGCAAATCATAACTTCATCTTTCCAATGAGTTGTGCATCAGTTATCATAACGGCAACAAGGACCTTACAGCTGTGTTGAAAAACCGCATAGCTGGGATTTAACAATCTTGCCTGCTCTCATGAGAACACGGCCATTTAAAAAATTTCTTTCTTTCTTTTTTAATGGTAGCCAAGTTTTGTTAAAAGTAGGAAAAGAAACAGGCTCTGCAGAGCCTTTTGGGCCAAGTAAAAGTAGGAAAACCGTGAGGGCGGCCCCATGACAGAGCAAACCCAGTGGCAAAACAGCATGGAGCAACCTTTCTGTGTCACCCACTCCTCAGGCCAACACTAGGTCCAGGCCATCCTAGCAGAAACCTGACAGAGTTCTCCTGAGAAGGCCACGGAGAACGCGCCCATTTTAATCAGTGCCACAGGCTCCATAAGGTGGGGCTGGGGCGAAGAGGGATGGAGCCGTAACACAGGACCAAACCACAGCTCTCAAGGAGCCCGACGCCTGCACCCTTATATACAAGGGAAAGCCCAAGGCTTTGAAGAACCGCTCTCTGCCAGCACCAGAGAAGTCTCACAGATGTAGGACGAGTCGACTGACTTAGGACAGAAGCTACATTTTCAGGCCCTTTAACTGCAGGCGGTCAGCCCTTTCCATGGAGGTTTCAGCAGTGGCATTGGGATAGTCCGGAAGCTCGGTGGATTTGCAAACAGTTGATTTTGTAGAAATTCAACGTGATCAACAGCAGGATTCTCCCTCCTGCCCTACCCCACCAGGTGCAGAGCACGGTGTTCCTCCAATGCCTTTGGCCGGTGTCTTCCTCCGTCCTCTTCTTGGTGTGTTTGGGTGGTCGGCTGCGGAGGGAGCACTTGCCAGAGGAACTGTTAGGAGCAGGTTCACTGATCTCCAGCACATTCTCGTGCAGCGCCTGCTGTTCTGGTTCTGATTCTGTCGTGAGCTCGTCCTGGTCACTCCTCTCCGAACCCTCCTGGTGTGGACCTGGCTGCAGAACTCTCGGCAGGCGCTTGCTGGTCGGTAGGTCCTGCATGAACTCCTCAGCCTCATCCATGTCTGTGCTTCTTGAGTGGCCACCGTGGCCGTGGTGGTGCCGGCGTGTTCTTGAGGCCTTGGTGTGGGTGTTGGCGGGGACTCTGCGCCTCCTTGAAGCTCATTGTGTGTGTCTTCGTGTGCTCGAGGACCCCTTGCTATTTCTGGCGTCTGACTTCTTAGCAGCAGCCAGTTCCTGCTCTGTCTTCTCCTCTGGGGCCTCCCGTCCCCTGCTTAGCATCTCCTCTGTGTCCTGCAGACTCTGACGGCCTCCGGGGATCAGGGCATCCTTGCCCGCAACGCACTGCAGCCCCAGCTTTCCAGACACCAGTGTGGTTTCCACGCTCTTCCACCTCCACTGCTCCACTAGGCCAGGAATTTTCAAACCAAATAATTCCAAAGACTTTAAACACTCCTTTCTTTCCCTTCTCTCTCTCCCTTTACAGTTTGTGTTAAGTATAAAGCAGAGCCCAGGTGGCAATTCAGCACCGACCTGGTCTCTTCAGCTGCATCACAGGTCCATTAGACACATTTCCCACATCGCAAAGGTCACCCATCTTCAGCCTCTCAAAGTTCCTCTGATTCCCTGATGGCTTCCTCCAAGGCCACTGGGTGGCCACAGCCAGCCTTCTCTGACCTGTTCGGAATCCCCCGTGCTGCCCTTGAGTAGCACTTCTCCTTTCTCCTGCTGCCTGGCTCCACATTTCTTGAGTGTTTTCAGGTTTTATTTGGGCAGTGGCAATCATCCAGACCTCACTGCTGCAGCCCCTTCGTGTCCTACACAGTCAGAAGCATTTTCAGTCACAGGTCCTGTGAGCATGCATTTTCTGTGGCTGCTGTGACACAAACGTGGTGGCATAAGGCCACTCAGAAGGTGACCTTGCTCTGTGCTCAGGAGCCTGATGGCCCCTGGGCTGTGCTCAGTACTGAGCTGCATTCCTTCTTGGGCTCCAGGGCCATGTCCTGGGCAGTTCTCTGCCACTGTCCCTGGACCTGTCCTCATCCTCAAGCCCCAAGCCCTCATGTGCACCCTGCTCCTGGCCCAGGTAAGAATCTTTGGAATCGCTCGGGCCACCTGGCTGTCCAGGGTCCTCAGCAGACCAGCAGTCTGAGTCTCAGCTCTGGGATAACAACTGGGACGTGTTGGAGAGGAGCCACCAGTGCCCACCACCGTAGGGCACCAGGGGTGAGCAGGGCCTGCTCCTGCAGGACACACTGCCCGGATGCTGCCTGCCCAGTGCCCCGGGGACAAGGCCATGGGCCCCGCTCTGCCCTGTGGGCTCAGGCTAGGCTGACCAGTCCCACAGCTCCCCAGCAAGGGTCCTGTCCAGGGTACCCTGGCTTGGGGAGCCCCTGCGGGCCAGTCAGAGAAGACTTGACCTGTCCCTGCCCCACTGCCTGCGTGTGGCTCTCTCTGCCTCTCCTGCCGCCTGCCACCCTTCCTGTCCTGTGGATGGCAGCTGCTCCCTCTGTCCGCGGCTCAGCTTGCCTTTCCCCGAGCCAAGCGCAGGGGAACAGGGCTGCACCGGACTTAGCTTGATTTCCTAACGCCCAGGACCATGTGGCCAAGTTGAGTTGAACAAGGACAGAGTTTGAAGACCAGAACTTGGAGGCAAGCCCTGCTCTTCCAAGGGCAGCTCCAGGACCAGCCGGGGAGTCTGGAAGTGAGTAACTGTGTGGGAGGCAATTCAGGGCTGAGGACGATGCCTCCGGTCTCTCAATTGTCCTGTTGCTCAGATGACGTTGAGACTCATAGCCACAACACACACCTTGTCCAGATTGTTCATCCACTGAGACCCCTCAACCACAGAACTAGCCTTGGGCCTCCCCCCCGGTTTGCCCTCTTGGTGACACTCACAGTGAGGAGTGTGGCCTTTCTTGGGCCATCTACTCTTCTCTCCTGGCACTGTCCTGTGCCCCAGAGAGACTGGTGACGATTTCTCCGAAGACAGGATTTATCCAGACCCCTGAAATGTAAGTCCTCAGCCTCCTGTGCTCCCTCCTGTGCATGTCTCTCACCTGGACTCTCCAGAGACATCTGTGTTAGTGAAAATCACTGCAGCACCTGAGTTATGAAGACGGTTTCAAATTGGACAGCTCCAAAGCTGGCGTGGGAGGAGAGAATGCCTGTAATTCCAGCACACTGGGAGGCTGAAGCAGGAGGATTGCAAGTCTGAGACCACCCTGGGCAACTTAGTGACTTAGCAAGACCCTGTCTCAAAGTCAAAACAAAACAAAACACAACACAAAACCCTCAAACTAAAACTAAAGAAGGACTGGAGGAGATATATCTAGTGTGAAAGCCCTGGGTTCAACCTACAGTATTGCAAAAAATAAAAGAAAATAAATTAGCTTAAATTTCTTATAGTACCCAAGGAGATTTCTGGGTAATACATGAATTGGAAGGAAAGAACCTGCCGGTTTCTGGCCCAGAGATGACCTTTCAAAGACGTATTTGTTGGCTGTGAGTGACCCAAGTTAGAGCCATCCAGCACCATCTCTGCAGGGCTAAGTTGACCTTAGGTAACAAGGGCTTGAGGTCAGTGGGGTCAAGGTTGGTCCAGGAGAACTCTGCCTTTTGTGGAGACCTTTTAAAGGGGGGACCTCTCTGTCCCCGTCTGTCCTTTCTGGTCTCACCCAGCCGGCTGGGCTGTCTTCTGGAAACCACTGTGATTTGCAGTTTGACTCAGGCTGACCTCCCTGCCCAGGGTCACAGGGCAGCTGGATGCTGCCAAGGCCTCCTGATCGGGAGGGTGGCTGGGCCAAAAGGCTGGGCACGGACGTCTGGGAGCCCGTCCAGTGGGGTTCATGTGCCCCTCCTTGGCTCCCTGTGTGTGCGCCTCTGACCACCTATGCCACTCAGACTTTTGGGACGAGTTTTTCCTCTCATCCCCAAAATGAGTTTTGAGCCACGTGCTATGCTCTAGTGCCAAATCTTGATCGTTTAGCTAGAATGCCTATGCTTTTGGTAAAGTTCAAATGGGCCATTTTGCTTTCTACAACATCTGCGTCTCTAGGAAGGAGGGTGCTGGCTTGCTGTTCTTGCAAACCACTGGCCTCGTCCAAGGCGGAGCAAGGGCTTGGAGGCCTGGCTCCCAGGAGTCACCCTCTGCTTTGGCCCCAGACTATTTGAGGGGTTCAGTGAGAGCTCCTGCCCCTCGTCCCGGAAAGTCTCTGTGTGGGCTGGGGCTGGTTCCCCCGGACGACATCGGTGTGGCTCCTGTGGGGGTCTCTGCTGGGCCTTGGAGCTCTGTGCAGGGTTTCTTATGAACACCCTCTTCCCCCAGGTTTGTGCTGCATCTGCACGGACACCTTTAAACAGGAATACAGTGGCACGGGGATGCTTCCTCAGCAGACTCCATCAGCCACAGGTAAGGAAGCAGCGGCCCTGGTGTCAGGCTTCCTTCATCTGCCTTCCCCTCTCCTCCCCGTGGTGTCTGCAGGCTGTGGTCTTGGTCCCTGCTGCAGGGGCTGCAGCTCCCTGGAGAGCCCGGCCTTGCCCTGCAGGAGCCTCAAGCAGGCCATGCTGCTCTGGCCACCAGATGCTGGCGAGGAGAACATGACCAGGGAAGGGGTGGGCATGACTTGCTGGGGAGCACGGCCACGGGGTCCAGTGCATGTGCTAGAGAGGCAGAGTGTGTGAAGGGAGTGCACACGTGTGCTTGGGGTGCTGGGGATCAAACCCAGGGTCTCATGCACACTCTCAAGGGCTCTACCACAGAGCTGCATTTCTAACCCTATTTATTTTATTTTGAAACAGGATTGCCCAGGCTTTCCAATCCACCTTCCTCAGCCTCCCAGAGTGTTGGGATTCCTTGTCAATGTGCCTGGCCTCCACAAAACGTGTGTACGAGTGACACTGTCACGGGAGCAGTGCAGACGAGCACACCACGCAGAGGCATAGAGAGGAGGCCACAGTCTGGTGGGACAGGAAGCCAACCACACAGCCCCAGCCTGGAAATGATGCCACCCAAAGTCTGTAGGGAACAGTGAGGAGAGCTGCTCTGACATGACGCTGTGGCCCTGGGGGAGGCAGCATCTTAGCTTGGTTTGGAGCGTGGATCTGAGTCCGGGTAGAGGTTGGGGAATATTCCAGAGAGCAAAGAGAAAGCAGCTTGAATCAATCGCAGAGGAGGCAGCACATGGGGGAAGCAGCAAGCTCTTCAGTTTTAGCTTGCAAGTCATTTTGAGGAAGAGAAATGTGAAAGAATATCTACATGGAGGCAGGAAAAAAGTTACAGACAAAAGCCGAGTGCTTATGCACCTGTAACTCCAGCTCTCAGGAGACTGAGGCAGGAGGATTGCAAGTTCAGGCCAGAGTGGGCTACTCTGAGATCCTGTTGCAAAACACAAAACAAGACAAATCAACGTAAACAAAAACCAGAACAAGACAAAAGTTGAAGACAAGATCACTTTGGAGGCTCAGTTTAAAGTGACTCTTGTTAAGAAAATAATGAAAGAAGATGGTATAAAGCATTCTGCCAGGGTAAGGGTTGGGAACGGAAATAAAGCTCTCACATGGGCAGCACCTTGTATTTGAAATCGGTGTAAGGATGAAGAAGACAATGCTGAGCTGGCTCCCTGGCAGTTACTTACTTACTTTGCAGCCCTGGAGATTGAACCCAGCGTGTTCACACTGAGCTCCATCCCCAGCCTTTAAACTTTTTTATTTTGAGGCAGAGTCTTGCTGAGTTGCCCAGGCTGGGCCTGAACGCTCGGTCCTTCTGCCTCGGCCTCCCAGAATGCTGGGATGACAAGCGTTCAGCACGTATTCCACTTATTTTTCATTTTTAAATGATGCCCGTCACTGTTCTCATAGTCACATACAGCCTAGGTCTGCAACAGCAGGAGCTGAAAAGCGCTTGACCATGCGACAGGTGGTGGGAGCGTCGGAGTGGGCAGAGCGGGCTGTGGGCGCTGGCCTCAGCCCGGCGTCTGAGCTCGGCCAGCAGCCGGAGATGCTGTTCCCCGCGGTGCCCCTCCACGCAAGCCTCAGGCGCCCTGCACTCAGTGAGCGGCCACAGAATACTGAGCGGAACAACGTGGCACATTCTGAGCGCTCGGGGCACTTCAGTTTTATCTGTGGAGATTCACTTTCGGGGAAGCGCCCCGCGTCTCGAAGGCTGGCAGGAAGTGAGCCTGCAGCCGGGCTCTGACTCCCCGAGGGCGCAGGGAGGCCCAGCAGGCTCTGGGGACCCTTTGCCGCTTAGTGTCTTCCGCGCCTCTGCTCCCTGGCGTTGTGCATCCTCCCACTCCAGCGCGGTGCCACTGCTCAGCTCCAGCCTCCCCTGGCCGGGCCACTCCGCGTCTCCTGGGGGCACAAGTGTCCTCCGCTCCAGCCTCCCCCAAGCCACCCCCTGTGTCCCCGCTGTGCTCCCGGCCGGCTGGCGGACACCTCCTGTTGGCCCAAGGGCGGGAAACAGGTTCCCCGTGTGCCGAGGCCCCGAGCCGGGACTCCTGAGCACCTGGAGCCTCCTCCTCCCTCTGGTCCGGCTCCCTCCTGAGGGGCGGCGGCGGGGTGTCTTAGGTATTTCAGCTCCAAAGGCTTTGGTAGCTGGGGCTCTCCGGAGAGAGGAGAGCGCTGGAAATGCAGACCCGGGATCAAAACACCAGCAGTGACAGCCAGCCTGGGAGCGCGGAGGAAACCCAGCAAGTCTTCAGCGCAAAGCCCCACCTTGTTGCCCTGGGCGAAGACAGGAAATCTGCGGTTGAATGGAGGGCCGTGTGCCGTGGGGCTCCCGCCTTGGCCTCTTCCCTGAGCGGCTCGGGGGCATGCGGCTTCAGGGCCCAGCACCCACCCGGCCCGGCCGGGCCCGGTGAGGCGCTCTGCCTCCTCTTCCCCAGCCGGCAAGCTCAGCCTAAAGAGCCAACGCCTGTCCGCCTGCAGTCCCAGGTGCTCTGGAAGCTGATAGAAGGACTGCATGCAGGTCTGAGAGAAACGTGGGCACTTAGTGAGCCCCGTGTGACACTGAAGACAAAACAAGGTTGACATGTGCCCCCGTGTTCCGTACCCGGGACATTAAAGGGGGTCTTAGGGATCACAGAGGCTCTTAGTGCTTGGATCTGAAATGACCCCCGACGTCTTGAATTTCGAGGTGCGGCAGGTCAGAGGGGTCGCGGCGCTGCCCTCCAGGCATAGCCCAGCTGTCCCGCAGGCTGTGCAGACAGTGTCAGGCTGAGCAGGGAAGGGGGAGTGGACATCGCCCCTGGGCTTCCCCTGCGTCCGTCCACCCAGCCCCACATCGGAGACAACCAGCCTTCACCCCCTCGCAGGCGCAGGCACAGGCCCTGGGAGCAGCACCTGTGTCGGCTGCGCTTTCTCGGCTCCTTCTCTCAGCCCACCCAGTGCAGCGCTGTCAGCTTCCTCTGCCCCAGCTCGTGCCCCGCGGTGCCAGGGCAGCCGGGCCCGATCCCCTCATTGCCCGGCCCGTTCTGTGCGGGGCTCCCCGGGCCCTGCGTCCCCCGCCTGGGCCCCGGCCGGCCGCTGTGTCTCAGTCAGGGCGCAGACGGCACCAGATGACGCATCCCCAGCGTCAGCAATCTTTGGTCCCCTCAGCACCTCGTCCTGGCAGACGACCGTCCTGGAACAGGATCAGGTCAGATTGTATCTAGAGTCACCGCTGTGAATCTGCTTCCTCGAGGCTGCGAGCCCAGGAAAGTGGGGATCCTGCCCTCGCCTGTCCCCAGGGCCCCACAAGCCATCTGTGTCACTGTCACTGAGCCCTGAAGGTAGGTCCGTAAGTCGGTGCTCTCGAGGGTCGAGTCCGCTTGGACAGGAGTTGAGGTCCGGGAGGGTACAACTGCTGGTCCTCGTGTCCCTTCCTTCTCTGGGCTCTGCTCCGGGACCAGGGCTTCTCTGTCCCCTCCTCTGTCACTCTGGTTTGGGGGCAGGGGGTTGCTGTGGCCTCCCCTCTCTGGTGGCTCCAGGAAGTCACTGATGTTCAGTCAGCTCAGCTCTTCTGGAGCAAGGGATCCCTGCCAGAAGGTGGCGCTCTCCACTGTGCCAGGGGCCCGGTGGCTGGGAAAGGACCAGGGCAGTTGTGCCTCTTCTCCCTCAGTCAACACGGCCCTGTCTCTCCCCTTCTTACCTCGTGTTCCAGGAGGGGCCACCGGGGCACTACCGCCAGGACCAGCCTGGGGAGGCGCGAGCATGGGGCTCCCGGGCCACCTGGGTTCCCTCCGGAGGTGTCCAGGTCCAAGCCCCTCAGCAGCACCATCAGACATCCCCATCTGAAAAGCTCTCAGCCCGGGAGAGAAGAAACTGACTTCTAGGAATGCTGCTAAGAAGAGGAACAACACGCCCAGCCTCAAAAACAGGGGAATGAAACAAATACGGTCTTAGAAAGTTATTATTGTCTGCCGCGATTTAGATCCGGAGAGGTGGCCTGGGGAGAACCTGCTGTCCCGAGGATGGGGTGACCAGAGACTTGGGGTGAGGAGGACATGGGGGGGGGGTGCTGTGGGCCGGGAACTGGGCCCTGGGGCTCAGGGTGTGGCCTGGCAGCATGGGTCTTCCCCAAGCAGACCCAGCTCTGGTGGGGCACTGGCCCACGTGCTGTCCTCCTGCTCCTGTAACAAGGCCTGACACCCGGCAGCCCAAATGACAGAACTCACTGCCTCGTTCTGATGGGTGGCGGCCCCAAGCCCCCGCTTCCTCCCAGGGAGGAGTCTGTGCTGGCCTCAGCTCTTCCAGGCAGCCTCGGGCCTGGGGACAATTACTGCAGGCTCCGCACTGCCTGTGCGTCACACGGCCAGAGCTCCGACAGCAGTCAGGTGGGTGCGGCCCCACCCAGCTCCAGCATGGCCTCATCTTAATGCAGGACCCCTGTGGCTCCCCGTTTCCAAGTTAGGCCACACCCCAGGTCGCTGCAGGTTAGGACTGCGGGACTTGTGGGCACAGCTGGTGAAGCGTGGCTCCCATGTGTGCGTGGCTCACTGAGGCTCCAAGACATCACCAGCCTAGTGACCCTGGCTGGGGTCTGTGCTGTGTCTCCCGCTCCACACTGAGAAGCTCTGTCCTCTCGTGGGAACGGCCGTGTTGGGTTTGGGGAGCCATGCCCCAAAGACGGGGGGGATGTGGACGGGTACTGTTTTTAAAACAGGGTCAGGAAATAAAAATGACTTGGAAGGGAGGAAACCAGGCTTCGAGGGGGTGCTGGTCTCTGGCGGGACTGTGGCCACCACGTCCAGGGCCTTCTGGCTCCCCTCTGTTGGCACGGGGATCAAACCCAGGCCTCGAGTGTGCCAGGCCAAGTGCTTTCCGCAGGCTGCACCCCGGCACCCAGATTTCTCCCAGTCCCCCACCCTGAGGGCCCCAGGAGTGGGAGAGCTGCAGACAGGAGGCATTGCCAGAGCAGTGAGTGATCCCGGGTCACGCACCATGGGGGAAGGTGGCCTCTGCTCCCTGGAACACACAGCCACCTCCCAGAATGGACTTCGAGGTGTCTTGTTGTAAAGCCTCGACCATCGCTGCTGCATTGCCCTGCAGCCTCCACAACACAGCCAGGCCTGTGCTGTCACCTGGAGCCGTCACCATTGGCACCTGCACCTCACTGGCCACGTAGGTCGGGGGGCAGTGACTCCCCGGGGCGTCCAGCAGACGACAGAAGACTGCACAGTTGGAGCAGGAGGCACAGCCTGTCCCCAGGCCCTGCTCACAGAGGACACAGCAGAGGGGCCTTGGACCCTCCAAGGAGGGGCTGGGACAGGCGGCATCCAGTGTCCAGAAGCTGAGAGAACAGGGCTGGGTGTGGGAATGAGCCCTCGGGCGGCCAGAGGAGCAGCGGGGGTGCTGAGGAAGTGGTTCTGTTTTCACTCTGAGCTTGGCATGGAGAGGGAGGAGGAGCAGGCCGCAGCTGCAGGACCCGGAGGACCAGCAGAGGTCTTCCTAAGGGGAGGCGTGCAGGCACATCTGGAGCACATCTGACCTCAGGCGCTCACTGTCCCCAGATGCGTACCTGTCAGCTGCCATTTGGCAGTGAGGGCTGTGTTCGTGGCACAGGCTGTCGGCTCTGCCTCGTCCTGGTGGATGCACTGGCGTTGGGAATCCAGGCAGGATCGCGCATCACCAGGCTGCTGCCCTGGAAGCCAGCGAGCACCCCATCTCCTGCACCGAGGTCGGGCCACCCAGCCCCTCCGGCTCTCTCTGGAGTGGAGGCCACACCTGCAGCAGCCAGACCCTAATCCTGAGCTCGGCTGTGGGGCATCGAGGGAAACAGACCTGAGGCTTTGCAGTCTCTGGACAGACCTGGGGCAGCGCAACACCACACAGACCTCTGACCTCAAACATGGCCCTGAACACATGCACGCACTCACGTGCATGCACACAAACGCACACGCTTGCTGTCACAAGCCTTTTCTGAGGTCTCAGACAGCACAGTGTGGAGCTTCTGCTCTCATAAACATTAAAAATGGCAAGGCCTGATGGAACCATCTCAGCTTTCTCAGCTGAGAAGCATCACCCTGCAAGTGTTTACAGAACTGTAAGAAAAACCCCATGTTTAGAAAAGCCATCTGCTTGGAGGAAGAGACAACGAGCCAGGAGTGGTGAGAAAAGGCAGGGCAGCCTGGGAGCAGTGGGCCAGGCCCCCAAAGCCCAGACAAGCACACACGGACCCTCAGCCCTCCCTGGCTGTCTTGCAAGCCTCCTGCTCTTCACAGATGCCCTTTCCCCTTTGATCTGCTACTTCTGAGGCCAGGAGAGGAGGCTTCTGCTGCTCTGCGCATTTCGTCTCCCAGGGGCTGGTTCTGCTGGCGGGGGGGCAGAGGAGAGCAGGAGGTGAAGCCAGGTCCTCGGCCAGGTCCTCGAGCTGCATCCCAAAGTCAGCAGTGTGTAGATGAGCAGACTGCCTGCAGGGCTCATTCCCACACCACTGCCCTCGCTGCTCTGGCAGGGCCTCTGCCCCACCCTGTGCCCAACTTCCTGCCCCAAACAGTGGGGCCCTGGGAAGCCAGCACCAGCAGGCCAGTGGCCTGCCCTGACCCAGCCCCACCACTGTCCTGGCCTCATCCTGGCCTCTTGATTCCTTGCTCTCCTCGACCCAGCACCAGGTCCAGGTGGTTGTGCAGTGTTGCACAGGGGAGTGAGGGTTGTAGAAGTTTCTCCCTTGCTCTCTGAACTCTTCCTTTTCAGGGCAGAAGCTTGGGCTCTGACCTCAGGACAGAGTCCCCCCCGTGTGGTTGAGGAGGCCACAAAGGAAGGAACAGACCTGGCCGCTGAGTCACAGCAGCAGGCTCGTACCTGGTGCTGTCCCGGCCCAGGGCTCGGGCTCTAAACGGCCCCGTCCCAGAATGTGTGGACAGCTGACACCTGCAGATAGGGCTCCCTGCCGGGCCCATGGTCGTGGCCTTCCTGGTTGGCCCACGGCAGGTCCTGGAACGTGGGCGTCAGACCTCGCTGCTACTCACAGGCTGAGGTGAATAAAGACCCCCAGGAGGCAGGGAAGCATAAGCCTCCTTGGCTCATGGGCACAGGGCAGGGGCTCTCAGATTAGGACCCCTCTCCTGGGCCTCCGGACAGGACCTGGCAGCATTTGGAGGTGCGGGAGTGGTCGTGGGCACTGTCCTCTCCTCTGCTCTCTGGTCCAGCACCCATCTGTGTCATCCTCTAGGTCTCCCAATGAACTCACAGATTTCTGAGGCACTGACACAACCTTGTCACTGGATGGGGCCAGGGAGGTCCCCAAAGAGGAGATGGCAGGGAGGCTGCAGCTGGAAGCCTCCCATCATAGGACAGGTCAGGTCTGTCGGGATTGGGCAGAGGGCTCAGAAGGCTGGATTCTGAAAGAGCAGGCTCGGGAATGCCCTGGGCCCCAGAGGGAGAAGGCGTATGTGGCCGGGTCGGGGTTCCTGTGGATGTGGGATCCCCAAGAGGGTGACCAGGATGTGTATACTGATATCTGGGGTCCCCTGCCAGGTGAGCTGGTTGAGTACAGCATTTATCCAACTGGTGGATGAAAGTTGCTGTCCCTGCTGCAGTGGCTTCCTGAACACAGGGTGATAGGATTGAGTGCAGCACGTAGGGGCACTCAGCCTGGAGCCCAGGTTACAGGGCCTTGGTCTTCAGGCCTCAGGGATTTTCCCTAGAAGAAAAGACAGCTTGAATAACTTGTGTCCTAAAACTGCAAGTTTTCTAGAAAGTACAATTTTAAAATGTGATCCTCCTTTCTGGTTGTCCGTATTTCTTCCTGCTTCTCCCCTCCCATGTCCTCCTTTGGCTTAGCTCCTTTCTGAGCTCAGGCCTCTGCCACCTGTGTGTGACTTGCCTCCCCAGATGCTCGGGCGTGTCAATCTGGCTGGCCCCAGTTGGGACGGGGGTGAGCACCGCGGTCAGCGCAGCCTGTCCCTGCACACACTGTTAATGCGGACTGGGAAAACAGGTCACCCAGGATCCCACTGTTCTATGGCCTTGTCGTCTTCTATTGGCAGTGGACACAGGGAGCCGGCGGGTGTCTGGTTGCGCGTAGGGGAAGGATGGGAGGGACACGCAGCACCTGTCATTCCCACAGCCCCCTTCATTGGTGAGAACCGGGCTGCATGACTGCAAGGTGGTGACTGGTACTCTGGGGCCTCCCAGCACAGGTTGGACCCTGGTTGTCCTTCGGGGCCAGCCGGGTGGGGGCAGAGGGACAGTGGGTGTCCAAGAGAGGCTCCCTCCCACTCACCCTGGGGCCCAACAGGTCATTCAGACGTTTAGAAGCATTAGGAGGTCGCCTGGACCTGTCTGCTACAGGACGGCAGTGGCTGGTCAGAGGCCATGTGTGCCCTGCAGGGTGGCTCCACCCTCCCCTGGCCCGGGTTGGGTCAGACCACACTGGGCTGCCAGGCTGGGGCTCGGCCTGGCTGAAAGGGACAGTCGCATGGCCCGGCAGCGCTGGGCTGGTGTCCACCCCCGAGGGACCAGCTCCTCAGCCTCACAGGTCGCAAGATGTCCGGGGGGTGACCAGGCTGCAGGGACAGCTGCTGCGGTCACAGAGAGGACAGGGAGGGCTCCAGGTTGGTGGGGCAGCAAGCGCAGTGGGGTTAGGAGAGCTCAGCCTCCTGGTGGCTGAGCATGATGCCAGGCAGTGGTGGCAGTGTGTCCGCCTGCCGGTGCCATCTGTGTGTGCCACGCTCTTCCTGTCCTGCAGGGTGACTGGCAGGCTGAGCCCTGCCCTGAGCAGGTTCCTGCACACACAGATGCTGAAGGAGTACCTGCTTCACAGCCTGGAGGCCGGCGTCTCAGCCCCTTGTCCGAGCTGCCGGAAGCAGGTTTCCGGGAGCCATCCAAGGCAGGCCCTCACCAGGCCCCACTGACCTGGTCCTTGCTCATGGCCACTCGGCTGCACTGGGGCCGCTGGGCCTGGAGGAGGGCGCTCTCCGCGAGGCCAGGCCTGTGCTGCTCCCTGGCGGAGAAACAGGACCATAAGGATGGCTCAGAGTGGCCTGTCCCCTTCCTGGCCACGTTTCTCAGCACCACAGCTGGGGCTTCTCTCAGTGCCCCTGTGCTGGAACATTCAGGTAGCCCCAGCTGCTGCCCAGTGAGAACAGTTGGAAGAGCTGTGTGCTTCTGGCATGCTGCTTGCCTGCATTTGGAGTTGATGTTTAGCATCCTGCTAAACAGGAAACCCAGCTCCCTGTCAGGCTTCAAGGGTGCACTGCTCTTTGTGAGTACTGCTCTCTCCTGTTCTGGCCTCACTCAGGGCCTGTGGCTCCCCAAGGCTTCTCTTCTTCTCCCCACCCCTGGGTAGCAGAGCTGGGTGGGGAAGGAGGACACAAAGAGCCTGCTTCCTGCCCTCAGAGGCACACCCGCAGTTGCTGACATGGACGTGGCTATAAATGACCACTTAAAATGGGAAGAACTCGTTCTGTTGGAGACTCAGATAAGGCTTAGCAAACACGGTGAAGGGGGCAGCAGCAGTTTCCAGCTGCTGGGGTCCTGGAAGGCCTCCAGGGACAGTCACTGTCTTATGCCACTCACCCCCATTGGGGACAGTGACCTCCGAGATGTGAAAGGATCCTGCTAAGCAGAGAACTGGAGCAGCAGAGAGCCTGCCTTGTCTGCGTCCCCAGAGGCTTCTGCACTCATGCTGGGAGGGAATCATGTTTTACAGAGCTTTCCAGACTGGCTCATGTTTCAGGAGAGACAGCCCCAGCCGCAGTGACAAAGGGAGGTCTTCATTTTCTTTTGTGGCACTGGGGGTTCAACTCAGGGTTTTCACATTGAGCGATATCCCCAGCCCCTTTAATTTGTTTTTTTTGCGGGGACAGAGTCTCATTAAGTTGTTAAATTGCCCAGGGTGGACTTTCAATCCACCTGGCTCAGCCTCCCAGAGCCCTGGGGTTACAGGCATGTACCACACCCAGCAAAGGTCCAGGTAATTTTAGAATGAGGTTTTGCACACGTGCAGAGAGTGGAAGCCAGGCCGGAAGGGTGCAGACTGGAAGCATAACCTGGAAACACTGCCGCTTGTCCACTTACTCAGCAGATGTGTGGTTCCAACTCTGCAGGGCGCCAGGGACACAGGCTCAGGAGGCGCTGGGTGGACTGAAGAGCGGAACTCACTTATTAGATGAGGAAGAAGCAGAGCTTGGACAGGAAGGGGAGGCCGAGCTCACCCGTGGCCAGGGTGGGCCAGGGCGCAGGGACACTGCGTGGGACACAGCTGCCCTGCCTTCCTTTCCTGTGAGCTGCAAAACCTGCAGCTCCCCCTGCTCTGCCCCAGGAGGCTGGAAAGATGTGGTTTCCCAAGTGGATTTCAAAGCCATGTACCCAGTGCGGCTGTGTCAGGAAGATAAATGACTGTGCTTAATGAGGCCTGTGCCAGAGAAGCCAGCTTTGCAGAGCTAACATCCCAGAGCTCGAAGCCGGTCCCCGGGGTGATCTGACACAGCCTCCTTCTCCGCAGCCTGAGAGATGATAACGCTTGGGGCTTCTCATGGAGCCCAGCCTTGAGGCTGTCTTTTGAGGAGCCTGCACTTGGCTGGGGTCCCCTGGTATCTGCAGGGGGGCCAGAGGAAGATCCCCTGCCCCCCACCTCTCCCATTCTCTGCCCAGAACACTGTGACTCCTGCAGGAGGACAGCTTCGGGGTGTGTGGAGCCTGTAAAGAAAGCGGCACCTAGCCTCGGGGGACCCAGCCTCACTGTCTCCAAAGCTCCCAGGGTTCGCAGGTCTTCAGAGCCCAGGAAAGACGGGTCCAGGCGCCACCTCCTGGCAGAGGCAACACCAGGCAGGGCTGGGGGAGCTGGGGCCCTCCTCTGGGGTTACAGGAGGCTCTGAGCTGGGAGAAGCCCTGAGGCTTGTGCTGCTGACCCAGTCATTTCACAGGAGGGGAAACTGAAGCCTGCAAAAGCAATAGGACAGAATCGGTGGCAGTGCTGAGGCAGAGGAGCTGAATGAACCTTTCCTGAGGGCTGAGCTGGGGACTCAGAAAAGCGCTTTCTCCTCACTCCCAGGTGCAGGAGCCCTGACAGGGCTCCCCTTCCTCAGGAGCCTGCAGTGGCCTTTCCCACACGTGCGTGTCGTGCACAGATGCTCAGCTGGGCTGCACGCATCAGGAAGAGATGCCGTCCTGTGCTCTGCCCACTGACGCAGCCCTGAGGGCGATCGCTCCTCTGTGGACAATGAGAGGAGGGCCAGAGCCAGGAGGGGCCCAAGGAGAGTGGCCAGCAGCTGACCGTGGTCTCCATGAGCTGTTCACAAACGCTGGGCAGTAGCATCTTTGGAGAATTATCATCCCCGTTCTGTGGGGCACAGCAGCAGCAACTCTGCACACTCGTTACACAGCAGGCAGCTAGAGCTCTCTCCCCACTTAATGTCCTAATGGCCCCGCATCTTCTCTGATTCCTTATCCAGCTTGGATACCTCCTAGGAACCCACTCACTTCAGGAACGGCCTATCACCTGCAGGAAAATCACTCCTGTGCTGCCACAGTCTCGCCTAAAGGATGCCTGCTGAGTCCCGACGGTGGCACCTGGCAGCCCTGGCCCCTCCATCATCTTCCACCTGCCATGGCTGTGTCCTCAGTCCTCGCTTCTCCTCGGGTCCCTGAGGGGTTCTCTCCTCCTCCCCGCGAGGCCCCTCAAGGAGACCTGGAAGACGCTGTGGTGCTGCTGATCACGGGTTCCTGGTGGCGCCTGGCCCGGTGCCGACTGCTACACAAATGTTGTCTCCAGTCCCGGGAGCTGTGTGAACGCTGCCCCTGCAGGGGTTCCATCTGCGGCAGTGGGGCCTGGGCCCATGCCCTCCACTCTTTCCGGACCTGACACAGGCTCCTGGCCTCCCTGCTGCAGCCCCGAGCACCCATACCACCCCCGGACAACAGCAGCATTATTCTTCAGTGATTTATCCCCACAACTGCACTTAATTTGCATCTTAATATTTTCTTCCAGGAAATCATTTTCATAATTACTACAGGTTATTTTGGAGAATCTATTCCAGCTGAGTTGTCCAGCCCTTCATATTTCAAGTCACCCCTCTCCTCCCCCTGGACCCACCTGACAGCGGCTCCCATCCCTCGCTGCCCAGGGAGCCCTGGAGGTGCTTGGGGACATGCGTTGGGCTTCGGCTGCCATCACCAAGTCAGCAATGGACTGTTCCAAGGAGCTTGACCCCGGTCCAGTGTTACCTGTGTGATAGCAGGGGTGACGCCTGCTGAGCCCCAGCTAACGGGGATTTGTGACCCCTGCAAAGGGGCTGCACGCATCAGGGTTGATGTAAAGATGACAGCTCTCTTTCCCAGTGGTCATTATTTTATGAGCAAAGTACCCTTACCAGCATTCACCACAGTTGGGGCCTCGCAGATGTGGAATGCCATCTGGATTCCCATGTTCAGAATGTCAGCCATGCATTCAGCTATACAGGTGTTGCATTGACACAGAACTCAGAGCATGAGCACAGGGGCTGTCTCCCAGGGGAAAGCACCCAGCTAAAGGAGGGCGGCTGCCTGTGGTGGCTCTTTAGGCTCGGCTACTTCAGACTTTCACTTCAGCATCTCTGAGCAACAGGGCTCCAGCGGGGCTGAGTTCTGGTCACCCTTCGGTAATGGAGGCAGCGAGCTCTGGAGTGGGTGCCATGTGGACATACTCATCATGGAGAGGAGAGACAGAAAAACTCTTACTGCCTT